AAAAAAAAAAAAAAAAGGAGTTGGGCGTGGTGGCTCATGCCTGTAATCCCAGCATCTTGGGAGCCCGAGATGGGTGGATCACCTGAGGTCAGGAGTTTGAGACCGGCCTGGACAACATGGTGACACCCCATCTCTATTTTTTTCAAAAAAAAAATTAAAAAAATAAAGAAAAGAAAATACCATGTAACACCTCCTGGTGATTTGACTTGGCCAATCTGATTGACTTTCCCTCCTGAGAAACAGACACCAGTCACCCTTCTCCCAGTGGGGGCCAGTCAGGCTGATATTAGGTTAAGCCCCCAAATCAAAACAAATAGATCCAGTGAGAATTACATCACTTTTCACCTCTAGGGACGAGAACAGTCTACCTTGTCAAGAACCATATGGATGAGAAAAGGGAGATTCCAAGGGAATGTCTAACAGCCAGGCATGTTGATGCATGCCCACGGTTCCAGCGACTAAGGAAGCTAAGGTGAGAGTCGCTGAAACCCAGGAGGTGGAGGTTGCAGTGAGCAAAGATTGCACCACTGCACTGTAGCCTAAGTGACAGAGTGAGACCCCACCATATAAAATAAAATAAAATAGATTGGGCATGGTGGCTCACGCCTATAATCGCAGCATTTTGGGAGGCCGAGGCGGTGGATCATGAAGTCAGGAGTTCAAGACCACCGTGGCCAACATGGAGAAACCCCATCTCTACTAAAAACAGAAAATTAGCCCGGCATGGTGGTGCATGCCTGTAATCCCAGCTACTCGAGAGGCTGAGGCAGGATAATCACTTGAATCTGGGAGGCAGAGGTTGCAGTGAGCCAAGATCGCGCCACTGCACTCCTGCCTGGGCAGTAAGAGCGAAACTCTGTCTCGAAAAAAATTAATAAATAAAATAAACAACAAAATAAAATAAAATAATAATATAAGACTGTTGAAAAGAAAGGGGCCTTTCCACCAGCAAGAGCTGAGAGTGAAGCTGGGGCTGAGAGAGGTGTCTGCAGGCCAGGCATAGTGGCTCACTCCTGTAGTCCCAGCAGCTTGGGAGTCCAAAGTGGTCAGGTGGAAGGATCAGTTGAGCCCCGGAGTTTAAGGCCAGACTAGGCAACATAGGGAGACTCTCTCTACAAAAAAAAAAAACTAAATTATGATCCAGGGCTGGGTGCAGTGGCTCATGCATGTAATCTCAACACTTTGGGAGGCTGAGGCCGGCAGATTGCTTGAGCCCAGGAGTTCGAGACCAGCCTGGGCAATATGGCAAGACCCCTTCTCTGCAAAATACATAAAAATCAGCCAGGCATGGGAGTGCGTGCTTGTAATCCTAACTACTCAGGAGGCTGAGGTGGGAAGATCACCTGAGCCTGGGAAGGTTGAGGCTGCAATGAGCCGTGATTGGGTCACTGCACTCCAGCTTGGATATCAGAGCAAGACCTCATTTCTGAAAACAGTGAGAGAGACAGAGAGATGTGGGGAAAGTCAGCGAAGGGAGTTCCTGCTGTAGGACAAAGGCGTCTGGTGCACTGTGAGCGTGGACAGCAGCCCGGCCTCCACCCGCAGATGCTGATAGCATCCCCACCCCAGTTGTGACAACTAACAACATCTCCAGACCTTGCTGGAGTCCCTCTGTGACAGAACCACCCTGGGTGGGACCTGCTAACCCAGTCCTCGGTTCTCATCCTTCTGAACACTTTAGGGTAGGAGACATCGGGACACACCAGGGCAGCTGCCTCTTATCCATGAATGGGAAATGGTGAGCCAAAGTACTTGGGTGATTTTTTTTTTTTTTTTGAAACAGAGTCCCATTCTGTCACTCAGGCTGGAGTATAGTGACACGACCTCAGCTCACTGCAACCTCTATCATCCAGGTTCACGCGATTCTCCTGCCTCAACCTCCTGAGTAGCTGGGATTACAGGCATGCACCATGACGTCTGGCTAATTTTTGTATTTTTAGTAGAGATAGGGGTTTCGCCATGTGGCCAGGCTGGTCTTGAACTCCTTACCTCAAATGATTTGCCTGCCTCGGCCTCCCAAAGTGTTGGGATTAGGGGCGTGAGCCACCGCGCCCAGCCTACCCCCACCCCCAGGTGATTTTATTACGAGCCCAAATCTCTGGAACCTGAGCTCTCCCAGGTCTCCTGGGATGCCATAAACCACACACTGAGCTCCCGTCCCGGCCACCCCAGCCCCTGCAGGCCACCATGCTTACCCTTGGTCCACTCGTAGGTGAAGGCGGGATCGGGCGTCTGCACAGCTGTGTCCTTCACAAGGACTCTTGTCACGTGCCTGCCTGGCGTTTTCCTAGACTCGGCTGTTTGTGGAAGGTCTGTCTTCGCACTGGAAGAAGATTCAGACAGAACGTCCAGTGTTCTGTCAAGAGACTCCCTGGAACGGGCAGTTGGCTCAGATGCCGTCAGACTTGGAGAGTTTTCAAAATCCTCAGAATAGGCTGAGCTGACTGTGTTCACCATGGGGGCTTCAGACGGTGGCTGCATGCTGGAAGCGCTGTCCGGCCGGACGCCAGGAGCCGAGCAGGCACTGAGATGCTCTGAGACCTCGCTCTCATGCCCCTCTGCAGAGGCGGCCTTTCCCCGCAATGCCCAGCTCCTCGCCTGGGCAGGCCTTGGGGCATCCTGCCCAGCGGATGCCTCGGCTCTGAAGATTGTGCCAGCTGTTTTTTCCCTGTGAGCGCTTTCCTCCTAAAATGAGGAATGGCAGAGGTGGCTGGGAAGTGTTTTGGAAAGATCAGCATGCCAGGATCACCACATTCCTAGGAGCTGGGGACCTCCAGCACTCCAGCAGGCAAGGGGACACACTGGGTCCCCATTAGGTGTGGGCATGGAGTATTCTCAACAGAACTCCTGAGTCTTCAGCATGGGATGTCCACGGGGCTGCAGGGAACCCGGAGGGTGTGATGCATGCTTAGGTGGCACAGATGTCATTTAACATCGGCCGGACACGGTGGCTCACGCCTCTCATCCCAGCATTTTGGGAGGCTGAGGCGGGTGGATCACCTGAGGTCAGGAGTTCGAGACCAGTCTGACCGACATGGAGAAACCCCAACTCTACTAAAAAAAAATACAAAATTAGCCAGGCGTGGTGGCACATGCCTGTAATCCCAACTCTTTGGGAGGCTAAGGCAGGAGAATTGCTTGAACCCAGGAGGGTTGTGGTGAGCCAAGATTGCACCACTGCACTCCAGCCTGGGCAACAAGAGCGAAACTCCATCTCAAAAAAAAAAAAAAAAATTTCATCATGGACTTAAGGACTTTAGGTGACTGAGTAGTAAGATCCTTTGAGCTCAGGAGTTTAAGACCTGCCTGGGCAACATAGCAAGACCCTATCTCTATAAGAAAAAAACTTAGGCCAGGCACAATGGCTCATCCCAGCACTCTGGGAGGCCGAGGTAGACAGATCAAAAAGAATCAACATTGGGCCAGGCACGGTGGCTCACACCTGTAATCCCAGCACTTTGGGAGGCCGAGTGGGGAGGATTGCTTGGGCCCAGTTTGAGGCTAGCCTGGGCAAAAGAGTGAGACCCCGCCTATACTTAAAAACAAATTATTTTATTTATTTATTTATTTATTTTAAATAGACGGGGTTTCACCATGTTGGTCAGGCTGGTTTTGAACTCCTGACCTCAGGTGATCCACCCGCCTTGGCCTCCAAAGTGCTTGGATTACAGGCGTGAGCCACCACGCCCGGCCAAAAACAAATTTTTTTTAAGCAAAAAACAATTGACAATGAAAAATGACTTTGTTGTACTTACTTCCTGTTCCAGATCTGAGTTCTCACTGACAATGGGAGCCAGATCGTCAAGCGATAAAATATTTATTCTGAACTCTGTAATTTAAAAAATAGTATAGCTTTTACATTTACTCCTTTATTTACTCCATAATGTTTTTAAATCTTCCATATTTCTTTTTTTTTTTTTTTTTGAGATAGAGTTTCACTCTGTCGCCCAGGCTGGAGTGCAATGGCATGATCTTTGCTCACCACAACCTCCACCTCCCAAGTTCAAGTGATTCTCCCACCCCAACCTTCCGGGTAGCTGGGATTACAGGTGCCTGCCACCTTGCCCCGCTAAGTTTTGTATTTTTAGTAGAGACAGAATTTCACCATTTGGCCAGGCTGATCTCAAACTCCTGGCCTCAAGTGAATTGCCTGCCTCAGCCTCCCAAAGCACTGGGATTACAGGCATGAGCCACCGTGCCCAGACTAATCTTCCATAAATGTTTAGAAAGATATGAAGACATGCAGTCCCTGTCCTCAAAACACCAGCCCAGGAGTCAACACACCTTTTCTCTACAGGACTAGGCGGGGCAGGGCATGATGGTTCACACCTGCAATCCCAGCACTTTGGGAGGCTGAGGCAGGAGGATCGCTTGAGCCCAGGTATTTGAGACCAGCCTGGGCAACAAAGTGAGACCCCATCTCTACAAAAAAATTAAAACATTAGCCTGGCAAGGTGGTGTGCACCTGTGTAGCTTTTGGGGACAGTGTGTCAGTTGTGACTACTTAGCTCCACAGTCACAGTGTGAAAGCAGCCATAGACAATGGGTGAAGGAAGGAGCATGGGGGCCTTCCAAGAAAGCTTTATAAAGACAGACGACAGGCCCGCTGGCCCCTGGTCTGGACAGATTAGCAGCTGATCAAAGTGCACTGCAAGAAGGTGCTGAGAAGTGCGAGTGTGGTGTAAGGGGCGGAAGCCAGCTGGGGAGGAAGCAGGGGACAGACTTCGGGGCAGGGGCAGACCTGAGACATGGCCCCAAAGCATCCTATGTTGTCATTTACAGCAAGTTCATAGACTATGAGTTCTGAAAAATAAAACAAAACAAAACACACAGTGCAGCAAGTCAAAGGCACTGCAGAACCTTAGGGTGGAGGCTGGTGCCTGAATGAGGTGTGTGCCGGGACCCAGGAGTGTGGGGTTGGAGATTCTAGTGCTCCAGCAGGTTTTTGGGTTTAAAAAAAATTTTTTTTTTTTTTCTGAGACAGAGTCTCGCTCTGTGGCTCACTGCAGCCTCTGCCTCCCAGATTCAAGCAATTGTCCTGCCTCAGCCCCCTCGCTGCCATGCCCAGCTAATTTCTATATATTTAGTAGAGATGGGGTTTCACCACGTTAGCCAGGATGGTCTTGATATCTTGACCTCCTGGGAGACCAAGGCAGTCGGATCACGAGGTCAGGGGTTCGAGACCAGCCTAATATGGTAAAACCCCATTTCTACTAAAAAAATACAAAAATTAGCCAGGCGTGGTGGTGCATGCCTATAGCCCCAGCTACTCGGGAGGCTGAGGCAGGAGGATCACTTGAACTCAGGAGGTGGAGGTTGCAGTGAGCCGAGATCATGCCACAGCACTCCAGCCTTCATGACAGAGTAAGACTCCATCTCAGAATTTAAAAAAAAAGCAAGTTGAGAGTGTGTGATGTGGCTCAAAATTTCCTGCCTGGGCAATGCCCTGTGACCACCACATCGAGGACTCTAAAGGTGGCCTCGCCCTTCCTGCCCAAGGTACTGGCTTTGCACTGGGATTAGGATTACCGTCGAGGCTGTCATCAGCACCTTCTGAAACTGACTCGTCTACAGGCTCAGCCTCACTCCCTCCAGGGGAGGACGCAAGCTTGATGTGCCCCATCTTTAAAGAGACTGATTTCGAAAAGGCGCCTGTGATGGAAACCGACGGCGTGTGGGAGGTGGTGTCATCGGAAACGTGACTCTGCGGGGACTGTGCTCTTGAGCGAGCGCTGTGAAGGGTCCCGTCTGCTGCTAGGGAGGCTGGCAGGCATGATGTCTGAGAAGGCTTTGCACTGGAGAGTTCCACGCTGGGTACAGTAAATCCTCTCTGTTCAGATGGGACCTGATATAAAATACTTGAAATTAACAAACTTATTTTTTTATTATTATTATTTTTTTAAAGATGGGGTTTCACCATGATGGCCAGGCTGGTCTTGAACTCTTGACCTCAGGTGATCTACCCACCTTGGCCTCCCAAAGTGCTAGGATTAAAGGCGTGAGCCACCGCACCAGGCGAAATTAACAAACTTATAACAACTAAATTCTTTTTTTTTTTTTTGAGACAGCGTCTCATTCTCTTCCCCATCCTGGAGGGCAGTGGCGCGGTCATAGCTCACTGCAGCCTCGACATCCTGGGCTCAAGTAATCCTCCCATCTCAGCCTCCCAAACAGCTGGGACTAGAAGCACATGCCACCACACCTGGCTAATTTTATTATCTTGGTAGGAATGGGTTTTGCCATGTTGCCCAGGCCAGCCTTGAACTCCTGGGCTAAAGCTATCTACCCACCTCAGCCTCCCAAAATGCTGGGATTACAGGTGTGAGCCACCATACCTGGCCGTCACCTCTTTTTTTTTTTTTTTTTTTTTTTTTGAGACAGAGTCTTGCTCTGTCGCCAGGCTGGAGTGCAGCGGCATGATCTCGGCTCACTGCAACCTCCGCCTGCCAGGTTCAAGCAATTCTCCTGCCTCAGCCTCCTGAATAGCTGGGACTACAGGCGTGTGCCACCACACCCAGCTAATATTTGTATTTTTTTTAGTAGAGACGGGTTTTCACCATGTTGGCCAGGGTGGTCTTGATCTCTTGACCTCGTGATCCGCCCGCCTCGGCCTCCCAAAGTTCTAGGATTACAGGCGTGAGCCACTGTGCCCAGCTCCAATACCTATGTTCTTATGGTTCAACAGACAATGGAGTTAGCGGGGAGCATGAGACCAAGACGGCAGGGATCACAGTTTCCTCTTGCTGCATCCCCATTCTCTCTATTTCTGAAGGTCAGGGTCCAATACTTAGGTAAGATAATGTTGGGAGTAGAAAATACTCCACAAATAGGACAGGTACGGTGGCTCACGCCTGTAATCCCAGCACTCTGGGAGGCCGAGGTGGGTGGATCGCCTGAGGTCAGGAGTTTGAGACCAGCCTGACCAACATGGAGAAACCCCATATCTACTAAAAATACAAAATCAGCCGGACATGGTGGTGCGTGCCTGTAATCCCAGCTACTCAGGAGGCTAAGGCAGGAGAATCGCTTGAACCCAGGAGGTGGGTGGCAGTGAGCCAAGATCACACCATTGCACTCCAGTCTGAGCAACAAGAATGAAACTCTTTTAAAAAAAAAAAAAAAAAAGGCTGGATGCGATGGCTCACACCTGTAATCCCAGCACCTTGGGATGCCAAGGTAGGCGAATCATGAGGTCAGGAGTTCAAGACCAGCTTGGCCGTTATAGTGAAACCCCATCTCTACTAAAAATACAAAAATTAGCCGGGTGTGGTGGTACACACCTGTAGTCCCATTTACTCAGAAGAATGGGACTACAAGTGAGGCAGAAGAATCACTTGAACCCAGGAGGAGGAGGTTGCAGTGAGCTGAGATCATGCCACTACATTCCAGCCTGGGCGACAGAACAAGACTCCATTTCAAAAACAAAACAAAACAAAGACTCTACAAATAATCAGAAATATCACTTTGCTTTCAAATAGATATTGTTAATTACATATTTTCTTTTTATTATTATTTTTTGAGACGAAATTTCACTTTGTCACTAAGGCTGGAATGCAGTGGCACTATCTTGGCTCACAGCAACCTCAGCCTCCCAAGCTCAAGTGATTCTCCTGCTTAAGCCTCCTGGAGTAGCTGGGACTACAGGCGCGCACCACTCCACCTGACTAATTTTTGTGTTTTTAGTAGAGATGGGATTTCACCATGTTGGCTGGGCTGGTCTCGAACTCCTGACCTGAAGTGATCTTCCTGCCTTGGCCTCCCAAAGTGCTGAGATTAAAGGCATGAGCCACTGCACCTGCATAATTACACATTTTCTAAATTAAGGCCCTTCTAGCCCTATGAGGACTAAGCTATGGTCGCCTGGACCTTCAACAGAATCAGAATGAAAATGGAAATCCTCCCCCATAAAATGTAGCCTTCTGGCTGGGCACTGTAGCTCACGTGGTAATCCCAGCACTTTGGGAGGCCCAGTTGGGAGGATCGCTTGAGCTCAGGAGTTCGAAACCAGCCCGGGCAACATAGCAAGACCTTGTCTCCACAAAAATTGTAAACATAAGCTGGGCATGGTGGTGCACAGCTGTAGTACCAACTACTTGGGAGGCTGAGGCAGGAGGTTCACTTGTACCTAGGAGATTGAGGCTGCAGTGAGCTATGATTATACCCACTGTACTCCAGCCTGGGTGACAGAGTGACACCATGTCTCAAAAAAAAAAAAAAAGCAGGCTGGGCACGGTGGCTCATGCCTGTAATCCCAGCACTTTGGGAGGCCGAGGTGGCAGGATCATGAGGTCAGGAGTTCGAGACCAGCCTGACCAACATGATGAAATCCCATCTCTAAAAACAAATAAAAAATAAAATAAAAAACACAACAACAACAACAACAAAATCCTTCTCTCAAGATGTGTATGGGTGCCAGCTACTATTTAGGAAAGAATAAAAGTAAATACTAAATGTTTGTCGAAAATAAACAAATAGGCCAGGCACAGTAGTTCATGCCTGTAATCCCAGCACTTTGGGAGGCCAAGAAGGCAGGCGGATCAGAGGGTCAGGAATTCGAGACAAGTCTGCTCAAGATAGTGAAACCCCAACTCTACTAAAAAAAAAAAAAATTAGCCTGGCATGGTGGCGCATGCCTATAGTCCCAGCTACTAGGGAGGCTGAGGCAGGAGAATCGCTTGAACCCGGGAGGCGGAGTTTGGGATGAGCCGAGATTACGCCACTGCATTCCAGCCTGGGCAACAGAGACTCTGCCTCAAAAACAATAAATAAATAGACAGATAGATAACTAGGCTGGGTGGTTCATGCCTGTAATCCCAGCACTTTGGGAGGCCGAGGTGGGTGGATCACCTGAGGTCACAGTTCAAGACCAGCCTGACCAACATGGTGAAACCCCGTCTCTACTCAAAATACAAAAAATTAGCCAGGCATGGTGGCAGGTGCCTGTAATCCCAGCTACTCAGGAGGCTAAGGCAGGAGAATTGCTTGAACCTGGGAGGCGGAGGTTGCAGTGAGCTGATTGCACCATTGCACTCCAGCCTGGGCAACAAAAGCGAAGCTCTGTCTCAAAATAAAATAAAATAAACAAATAATTAATAAGCTGGATGTGGTGGCGGGTGCCTATAACCCCAGCTACTTGGGAGGCTGAGGCATGAGAATCTTTGGAATCTGGAAGATGGAAGTTGCAGTGAGCCAAGATCACGTCAATGCACTCTAGCCTGAAAGGCAGAGCAAGACTCCATCTCAAAAAAAAATAAAAAAATAAAAAACAGGCAGGGCGCCGTGGCTCACGCCTATAATCCCAGCATTTTGGGAGGCCAAAGCAGGCAGATTACAAGATCAGGAGATCGAGACCATCCTGTCTAACACAGTGAAACCCTGTCTCTACTAAAAACACACACACACACACACACACACACACACACACACACACACACACACTAGCCAGGCAAGGTGATACACACCTATAGTCCCAGCTATTCCGGAGGCTAAGGTAGGAGAATTGCTTGAACCTGAGAGGCGGAGGTTGCAGTGAACCAAGATCATACCACTGCACTCCAGCCTGGATGACAAGAATGAAGCTGTCTGAAAAAATAATAAAAATAATTTTTTTTAAAAAACACCTTACCGAAAACAGTTTTATTTCTTCTTCCTCGCTAACTTCAGCGCTGCTGGAGCCTTGATTTGTTTTTTTTTCTCTAGAAGAGTCCATCAAGCTTCCTAGCAATGCTTTCATTTCCTCTTCATCACTGTCTGGAGAATCAAATGTTCTAGCAGGTTCTTTCTTCTGTCTGGAGGTTTGCAAAGTCCTCTCTTTCCCAACAGGTGCTTCAGGGGATACGTTTTCAGCAGGTGGTTGTTTTTTCTTTAGAAACCTACTGACCTTCGCGTTCTGTGCATTATTTTCAGTGACAGGAAGTTCAGGGGCTTGTTTCTGGGAAGTTTTTTCTGTGTTCTGGGACCACAGTTCGACTCTACCCCCGGGGGGAATGTTGTCAGCTCTCTTTGGAAGACTGGCTTCAGTGCCCACTGAGTCAGACTCCGTGCCAGACAAATTCCTCTGCAGCTTCCGATTCATGATCCGTGTTTCTAGCTGGGCCAGCTTCATGAGTGCGGCATTAGCTCGGATCCCAGATGCAGTGGTGGGCGGTCTACTTGAGGCAAGCCCGGGTCCACGCCCCAGCGCAGTGTTCTCTTTCAGGTGTAAGTGTTTTTCACCTAGAGTTTGGTTTCTTTTTAGAAATCTGCTACGCTCTGGTGCTATTTTGGTAAGATTTCTACTGATCTGGTAGTTTCTGATTTCTTCCATTGTTGCATCTTCTAAGGAAATATCACTGAAGTCACTAGAAACATCACGCGTGGGACAGCTGGCTTTTCTTGCAGAATCCATTCTGCGGGAGAAGAGGAGATAATTTCGAATAAGAGGCTTGTAATCAAAGCTCTTTGGGAGGCCGAGGCAGGTGGATCACCTGAGGTCAGGAGTTCGAGACCAGCCTAATCAACGTGGAGAAACCCCATCTCTACTAAAAATACAGAATCAGCTGGGTGTGGTGATACATGCCTGTAATCCCAGCTCCTTGGAAGGCTGAGGCAGGAGAATCGTTTGAACCCAGGAGGCAGAGGTTGCGGTGAGCAGAGATCACGCCATTGCATTCCAGCCTGGGCAACAAGAGCGAAACTCTGTCTCAAAAAAAAAAAAAGATTACCTGCTGTTTGTATTGGGCATTCAACGGCTCCCACGTGGCTAAAGATCACACTGTCTTTTGCAACCCAGTCACAGCCTTCCGTTCAAGCCCAAGGATGACAATAAAAATGACCAGGCTGGGTGCAGTGGCTCACGCCTGTAATCCCAGCACTTTGGGAGGCCAAGGAGGACGAATCAAGAAGCCAAGATATGGAGACCATCCTGGCCAACATGGCAAAACCCCATCTCTAATAAAAATACAAAAATTAGCTAGGCGTGGTGGCATGCACCTGTAGTCCCAGCTACTCAGGAGGCTGAGGCAGGAGAATCGCTTGAACCCAGGAGGTGGAGGTTGCAGTAAGCCAAGATCGCGCCACTGCACTCCAGCCTGGTGACAGAGTGAGATTCCGTCTATAAATAAATAAATAGTAACTATTACTCTCATAAGATTCCTATATATTCCGAGTGGGACGTGCAAAAGTGCTCAGTAACATTTAAATGGCAGTAAGGGCTAGGTGCGGTGGCTCACGCTTATAATCCAGCATTTTGGGAGGCCAAGGCAGGTGGAGCACTTGAGGTCAGGAGTTCGAGACCAGCCTGGCCAACATGGCAAAACCCTGTCTCTACTAAAAAATAACAATAATAAAACAATTAGCTGGGCATGGTGACAGGCACCTACAGTCCCAGCTACTTAGGAGGCTGAAACAGGAGAATTGCTTGACCCAGGAGGTGGAGGCTGCAGTGAGCCAAAATTACACCACTGTAAGCCAACCTGGGCAACAGAGGAAGACTCTGTCTCAAAAAAAAAAAAAAAAGCAGTAATGGCAGTATCTGGACCACTTGCATAATGGGTTACCTTTAGCTGGAAGGACAAGATAATTAAGGTCCCTAGCACGTTGCTTCACACACACACAGTGCCAGGAGAACGTCAACAACTCTCTGTTAATATCTGTAGCCAAGGCTCAAGAGATGGCTCAGCCTGGGTCATTCTATGAGTCAGAAGGAAGACCTGACCATCAGGCCAGATTTTCTGCCATTTAGTTCTTCTAGAAGTTTCCTTGGGTTCCAAATTAAGCCAATGAAAAAATGGTTAAAAAGGCAAATTTGACACTATATTTTACTACAACTAAAATTATATATGTATATTTAAAACACAACAGTTATAATAAACCAGTGGGCAGCCAGGCACTGTGGCTCATGCCAGCATTCTGGGAGGCCGAGGCGGGCAGATCACCCAAAGTCAGGAGTTCAAGACCAGCTTGGCTAATGTGGAGAAACCCCATCTCTACTAAAAATATAAAATTAGCCAGATGTGGTGGCGCATGCCTGTAATCCCAGCTACTCAGGAGGCTGAGGCAGGAGAATCACTTGAACCCAGGAGGCAGAAGTTGCGGTGAGCCAGGATCGTGCCATTGCATTCCAGCCCGAGCAACAATAGCAAAACTCAAAATAAAATAAAATAAACCAATGGGCAAAAGATGTGAACAGATACTCTGAATACGCAAAAAATACATATAAATAACTAATAAGCAGCCGGGCGTAGTGGCTCACGCCTGTAATCCAAGCACTTTGGAGGCCAAGGTGGTCGAATCACCTGAGGTCGGGAGTTCAAGACCAGCCTGACCAACATGGTGAAACCCCATCTTAAAAAAAAAAAAACAAAAAACTAATAAGCATATGAAAAGCTGTTCAATGTCACTAGTCATTACAGAGATGCAAATCAAAACCACGAGGAGTGGCTGGGCGTGGTGGCTCACGCCTTAATCCCTGCACTTTGGGAAGCCTAGGTGGGCACATCCCGAGGTCAGGAGTTCGAGACCAGCCTCGCCAACATGGTGAAACCCTGTCTCTACTAAAAATACAAAAATTAGTAGGGCATGGTGGGGCGCATGGCTGTAATCCCAGCTACTCTCGAGGCGAGGTAAAAGAACTGCTTGAACCCAGGAGGCGGACGTTGCAGTGAGCCAGGATCATACCACTGCACTCTAGCCGGATGACAGAGTGGGACTCCGTCTCAAAAAAAAGAAAGAAAAGAAAAAAACCACGAGGAGCTACTACTTCACATTCCCGAGGGTGACTATAATCAAAAATACACATAACAAGTGTCGCCGAGGAAGTGAAGAGATTGAAGCCCACAGTGGCTCAGGCCTATAATCCCAGTATTTTGGGAGGCCAAGACAGGAGGATCACTTGAGCCCAAGAGTTCAAGACCAGCCTGGGCAACATAGGTAGACCCCATCTCTACAAAAAATTTAAAAATTAGCTGGGTTTGGTGGCACACACGTCTAGTCCCAGTTACTCAGGAGGCTGAGGTGAGAGGATTGCTTGAGCCCAGGAGTTTGAGGCTGCAGTGAGCCCTGATTGTGCCACTGCACCCAGCCTGGATGACAGGGCAAGAACCTGTTTCTTTCTTTTTTTTTTTTTTAAGACCAAATCTCACTCTGATGCCCAGGCTGGAGTATAGTAGTCTCAGCTCACTGCAGCCTCTGCTGCCCAGGCCCAAGTGATTCTCCTGCCTCAGCCTCCCAAGTAGCTGGGATTACAGGTACCCGCCACTGTGCCTGGCAAATTTTTGTAGTTTTAGTAGAGACAGGGTTTCACCATCTTGGCCAGGCTGGACTTGAACTCCTGACCTTGTAAACCACCCGCCTCAGCCTCCCAAAGTACTGGTATTACAGGCGTGAGCCACCACGCCTGGCCAACCCTGTTTCAAAAAAAAAAAAAAGAGATGTTGTTTGGGAAATTGTAAAATGATACAGTCCCCAATGTGGAGAACAGTTAGTTCCTCAAAAGGTTAGACACAGAATTACCATATGACCCAGGAATTACACTCCTACATGGCCCAAGAGAAATGAACATGTATATAAATGTTCATAACAGTTTTATTTTGTTTTTTTGAGACAGTTTCTCACTCTGTTGCCCAGGCTGCAATGCAGTGGTGCAATCATGGCTCACTACAACCTCAACTTCCCAGGGTCACGCGATCCTCCCACCTCAGCCTCCTGGGTAGCTGTGACTACAGACACACATCGCCATGCCTGGCTAACTTTTTGCAGACACAAGGTCTCACTGTATTGCCCAGGCTGTTCTCCACTTCCGCGGTTCTCAGGATCCACCAGCCTCAGCCTCCCAAAGTGCTGGGATTACAGTCCCGGATCACCACACCTGGCCCCATAATACTTACTACTCCTATTGGACTAAAAGGGGAACCAGTGTAAATGTCTATTAATTAGTGAAATGGATTACAAACTACAGTGCATCCATACAGTGGAATACTGTTCAGCAATTTAAAAAAGACAAATACTAATATAACAGCATGCACGAATCTCAAATAGTCATACTAAGGGAAAGCAGCCAGACACTAACTCCGCACACCCTATGATTTCATTTTTTTTTTTTTTTTTGTCTTTTTGTTTTTTTCCTTTTTGTGGAGAACGGGGTCTCGCTATATTGCCCAGGCAGGTCTCGAACTCCTGGGCTTAAGCTATCCTCCCGCCTCTGCCTCCCTAAGAGCTGGGATTACAGGCGTGAGCCACAGCGCCCGGCTGATTTCATTTTTAAGAACTGTCCAGAAAAGACAAGCCAATAAACTCAGAAAGCAGATTGGGCCGGCGCAGTGGCTGTAATCCCAACACTTTGGAAGGCTGAGGCTGGCAGATCACCTGGGGTCAGGAGTTGAAGATCAGCCCTGGCAAACATGGTGACACGCCGTCTCTACTAAAAATACAAAGATTAGCTGAGCATGGTGGTGTGCGCCTGTAATCCCAGCTACTCAGGAGGCTGAGGCAGGAGAATCCTTGAACCCAGGAGACGGAGGTTGCAGTGAGCCCAGATCATGCCACTGCACTCTAGCCTGGGCGACAGAGTGAGACCTCAAACAAACAAAAAAAGGAAGGCAGATGAGCGGTTCCCTGGAACTGTGGGTGTGAGTGAGGACAGACTGCAAAGGAACGAAGGAATCTCTTTGGGTAATGGAAAGTTTAGTTTTGTTTTTTGTTTGTTTTGTTTTGTTTTGAGTAGGGGTCTCGCCCTGCCACCCAGATTGGAGGGCAGTGGCATGATCACAGCTCACAGCAGCCTTGACCTCCTAGACACAAGCAATCCTCCCTCCCGCCTCAACATCCCGAGTAGCTGGGACTATAGGCACATACCACTGCACCTGGCAAATTATTTATTTTTATCTTTTTTAGAGATGGGGTCTTGCCATGTTGCCCAGGCTACTCTGAATCTCCTGGCCTCAAGTGATGCTCCCGCCTCTGCCTCTCAAAGTGCTGGGATTCCAGGCATGAGCCACCGCGCCCGGCCTGATGCAGAGTTCTAAAGCTGGATGAGCTGAATGGTGGCGAAGGCTTCACAACTTTGAAGATTTACTAAAAATAACCGAGTCGTCAGCTTAAAAGTGGCGAACACTATGGTATGTAAATGGTAGCTCAATAAAGTTGTTAAAAATCAACAAACCAAAATTTGAAAACCCTGGCGTCCCTCACACCACCCTGCTCTTCTCCCCTGCTATGAAGCGACCCGCACCGGACCTAACAGACCCCAGACAGGGAAACCGCCCGACCAGCTCAGCCGCCCGACCAGCTCAGCCCCAGAGCACGCCCGATTTCCCCGTATCTCGTCTCGCGAGCCAGTGCGCTCAGCCGCGTCACCTCCCCACCAGCCCTGCCGACCTCCTCCCAAGGGTGTCCATTCGCAGAAACCGCCGCCACATTCAGGCCTGAGGGAGCGGTTGCCCTAGGCAACAGAGCCAGAAGGGACTACACCTCCCGGGAAGCACCGCGTCCCGGGGACCAATGGCCCCCCGAATCACAATCGCGGGGCATCATGGGAGTGGTAGTTCCGTGACGGGCCCGACGGGCCCCGCGCCGCAGCGACCTATGAGACCTCAGGTCATAATCGCGAAGCGTGACAGGAATGGTAGTTTCCGGGCTCGCCTGAATAGCCGCAGAGACCGCCGGAAGCGAAGGTGCGGCAACGACAGGAAGCTCTGTGCACGCCGCCATGGCCGTGGCTCGGGTCCCACTCTGGGCCATCTGCATGCTGCGGGTGACGCTGGCTACCGTTTATTTCCAAGAAGAATTTCTAGACGGAGGTGAAGGGGTGACGCCCGTGGTGGCAAGGGTGTAAGCTCCCCTATCTCCGCCCCCCTACGGCTGGCCAGAGTCGCCGCGGGGTCGATGGCAGCGAACCCTTCCCTGGACGCAAATTAACAGTTATCAGCTCTAACCGGTGTTATTTCCCCTCCCGACAGAGCACTGGAGAAACCGATGGGTGCAGTCCACCAATGACTCCCGATTTGGGCATTTTAGAGTCTCGTCGGGGAAGTTTTATGGTCATAAAGAGAAAGATAAAGGTTAGTGTAGAATCAGGACCAAATCGTGCCTAATGTTACATTTCCATAGCAACCTTTCAGGGTAGTTACGGCACAGCCAAAAGCTTTTATTCCCATTTTACACATGAAGACCTTAAGGCAAAGGTAGACTTTAAGGCAAGTCTTCCTTATCTTTTGCTGTTTTCTCTCTCCTTTCTTTCTTTTCTTTTTTTTTTTTTTTTTGAGACAGAGTCTTGTTCTGTTGCCCAGGCTGGAGTGCAGTGGCATGATCTTGGCCCACTGCAACCTCCGCCTCCCAATTCTCCTGCCTCAGCCTCCTGAGTAGCTGGGCCTGCAGGCGAGCGCCACCACACCCAGTTAATTTTTGTATTTTTAGTACAGAAGGGGTTTCACCATGTTGGCCAGGCTAATCTCAAACTCCTGACCTTGTGATTCACTGCCTCAGCCTCTCAAAGTGCTGGGATTACAGGTGTGAGTCATCACACCTGGCCTCCTCTCCTTTCTTTATTGCCGAAGGTTGCTCCTTTTTTTTTTTTTTTTTATTATTTTTTAAATTGGTGTCTCGCTGTTTCCCAGGCTGGGGTGCAGTGGCACAATCTTGGCTCACTCAAACCACCTGCAGGATTCAAGCAATTCTCCTGTTTCAGGCTCCCTAGGAGCTGGGATTACAGGCACGCACCAACTTGCCTGTTTCGGGCTAATTTTTTTTAGAGACGGGGTTTCATCATGTTACCCAGCTGCTCTCAAAACTCCTGGCCTCAAGTGATCCACCCCTCAGGCTCCCAAAGTGCTGGGATTATAAACGTGAGCCAAGGTGCTTGGCCTATTATTATTATTACTATTATTTTATTGGTATTAGGTTCCCTGAAGTCCAAGGAGACATATTCAGCTTTTTGGTATAATAAAATCATACAAGAAGCACTGTCACATATGCAATGGTGTTTAACCTTCTTTGGATTATATTTATATAAATGTGTTGGCCAGGCATGGTGGCTCATGCCTGTAATCCCAGCACTTTGGGAGGCTGAGGTGGGTGGATCACGAGGTCAGGAGGTGGAGACCATTCTGGCCAACATGGTGAAACCCTGTCTCTACTAAAATACAAAAAATTAGCCAGGCGTGGTGGCACACACCTGTAGTCCCAGCTCCTCGGGAGGCTGAGGCAGGAGAATCTCTTGAACCCGGGAGGTGGAGGTTGCAGTGAGCCCAGATTACACCACTGCACTCCAGCCTGGGTGACAGGCCAAGACTCCATCTTTAAAAAAAAATGTGTTATTAGTATATATTACCAAAATTGCCACTCTTAAAAGACACTAGTCAAGTGCATATGGGGATCAAGGGCCGTTCCCCTCAGAGGGAAAAGTGGGCTCCTCCTTTCATTTTAATGTTTGCATTAAAAAGAAAAATATGTTGGGAGGCCGAGGCGGGTGGATCACGAGGTCAAGAGATCGAGACCATCCTGGTCAATATGGTGAAACCCCGTCTCTACTAAAACTACAAAAAAATTAGCTGGGCATGGTGGCGCATGCTTGTAGTCCCAGCTACTCAGGAGGCTGAGGCAGGAGAATTGCTTGAACCCAGGAGGCGGAGGTTGCGGTGAGCCGAGATCGCGCCATTGCACTCCAGCCTGGGTAACAAGAGTGAAACTCCGTCTCCAAAAAAAAAAAAAAGAAAGAAAAATATGGTCAGTGACAGTGGCTCACGCCTGTAATCCTAGCACTTTGGGAGACCAAGACAGGTGGATTGCTTGAGTTCCAGACCAGCCTGGCCAACATGATAAAAACCCATCTCTACTAAAAATACAAAGAATTAGCCAGGTGTAGTGGCAGGCGCCTGTAATCCCAACTACTGGAGAGGCTGAGGCAGAGAATTGCTTGAACCCGGGAGGTGGAGGTTGCAGTGAGCTGAGATCGTGCCACTGCACTCAAGCCTGGGTGACAGAGCGAGACTCCAGTCTTAAAAAAAAAAAAAAAAAAATAGCCAGGCGTGGTGGCATGCATCTGTAGTTCCTCAGGAGGCTCAGGTGTGGTGGCACACACCTATAATCCCAGCTACTTGGGAGGCTGAGGCAAGAGAATCCTTTGTACCCAGGAGGCAGAGCCAGCCTGGGTGACAGAATGACACTTCATCGGAAAAGAAAAAGAAAAAAATACAGAGGTGAACATCACATCTTGTTGCCTGCACATTTTTCAGGGGAAAACACAATGAGTTTTTACGTCTGTACAGGCAGGTCAGTATAAGGCGGGCAGATCTTTTATGTCTGTACAGGCAGATCAAGATAAGCCGAGCAGATCACTTGAGGTCAGGAGTGCAGGACCAGCCTGACCAACATGGCAAAACTCAGTCTCTATTAAAAGTACAAAACTGGATCAAAATGGCGGCGCTCGGGTATGAGGCTGGGGCTAAGTTGGATTCAGGTGTGCAGCCGGTGGGAGCTGAGGAAGCACCCAAGATAATATAAGCAAGGAAAACTGTGTTTTTAGAAGTTCACTGATTGGCATAGTATGTGGTGTTTTACAACCCAATTCTTTGGCTTTTGTTAAAAATGGACGTCTGGCAACCAAGTATCATACCATTCCACTGCCACCAAAAGGAAGGTGCTGCTTTGTCAGACACAAGTTAAATTAATGGCAATTCCTGTAGTCTTTCATATTGCGATTGGAGTAGTTAGTAGTCTACACTACTACACAGTATTTGAAAGCACACTTGAGAAAATTGTACCTGCAGAGTAACCAAAAAAATGAATGGTTGCTAACTTAGCAGAATGAAGTTTTTGTGAAGTGGACTCGGGCATTGCTGAAATTGTTAAAAGTAACTCTGAACAATTTGTTTCTGTGACTTTTGCCTGGCATATAGCAAATACTCAATACATATTCAATATGCAATCAATAAATAAATAAAGGTTTCAACTTAAAAAAAAATACAAAACTGGCCGGGCGCGGTGGCTCACGCCTATAATCCCAGCACTTTGGGAGGCCGAGACGGTTGGATCACGAGGTCAAGAGATCGAGACCATCCTGGTCAACATGGTGAAACCCCATCTCTACTAAAAATACACAAATTAGCTGGGCATGGTGGCGCACGCCTGTAGTCCCAGCTACTCAGGAGGCCGAGGCAGGAGAATTGCTTGAACCCAGGAGACAGAGGTTGCGGTGAGCCGAGATCGCGCCATTGCACTCCAGCCTAGGTAACAAGAGCGAAACTCTGTCTCAAAAAATAAAGTAAAATAAAAATACAAAACTTAGCTGGGTGTGGTAGCACACACTTATAATCTCACCAACTTCAGAGGCTGAGGCAGGAGAATCACTTGAACCCAGGAGGCTGAGGTTGGAGTGAGCCGAGATCATGCCAGTGCACTCCAGCCTGGACAACAGAGGGAGAATCTGACTCGAGAAAAAAAAATACAAAAATTAGCTAATTGTGGTGGCATGGGCCTGTAGTTCCCAGCTACTTGGGAGGCTAAGGCAGGAGAATCACTTGAACCCGAGAGGCAAAGGTGACAGTGAGCCGAGATCGTGCCACTATACTGCAGCCTGGGTGACAGAGCAAGATTCTGTCTCCAAAAAAAATAATAATAATAATCTGGCTTAAAGAGAGCTAATCCGACTAGGCGCAGTGGCTCTCCTGTAATCCCAGCACTTTGGGAGGCCAAGGCAGGCAGATCACCAGGTTAAGAGTTTGAGACCAGCCTGGCCAACACGGTGAAACCCCATCTCTACTAAGAACACAAAACAGGGGGCCGGGCGCGGTGGCTCAAGCCTGTAATCCCAGCACTTTGGGAGGCCGAGGCAGGTGGATCACTAGGTCAAGAGATCGAGACCATCCTGGTCAACATGGTGAAACCCTGTCTCTACTAAAAACTACAAAAAAATTAGCCAGGTGTGGTGGCGCATGCCTGTAATTCCAGCTAATAGAGAGGTCGAGGCAAGAGAATTGCCTGAACCCGGGAGGCAGAGGTTGCAGTGAACAGAGATTGCGCCACTGCACTCCAGCCTGGGCACGAGACTGCATCTCGGGGAGTAGTGGGGAAGAGCTAATTCAAGCTCAAAGTTTGAGGCCAACTGTTTGGAAAACAGATCCCAAAGAACAGAAGTCAGTGTTTGGAAGTGTATACGTTTGGGATCATTGGTATAGACAAAGTTTAGGGAAGCTCAACAGAATTTCAACATCTTTCTATGTAAGGCTTGATAATAATTACCATGGTCTGATTAGTCAAGGTGGTCTTTTTCTTCTGAGATGGTATATTTAACATTTCACCCTGAAGATGTAACAGTCTTGGCATCTTGTGTGCCATCTGGTCTGAGTGAGGTACAGGACAATCCTGGAGGCAGTTAACCTGTAACCAAAGGTCAGTGGTTACAAGTGGAGGAGGCGTAGTCTCTGGTCTGTCCTAGCCATTTACAGAACAAGAGCAATGAGGAAGAAGGTTAACCTATGATCTAAGAAGCAGAGTTTACACCTGCAAGCTGCATGACTCAGAGCACACATCTCACCCAAGGCTTTTATTTTATTTTATTTTATTTTATTTTATTTATTTTATTGATTCTGTTACCCAGGCTGGAGTGCAGTGGTGCGATCTCGGCAAACTGCAACCTCCACCTTCCAGTTTCAAGCGATTCTCCTGCCTCAGCCTCCCAAGTAGCTGGACCTACAGGTGCGTGCCACCATGCCCAGCTAACTTTTGTATTTTTAGTAGAGATGGGGTTTCACCATGTTAGCAAAGATAATCTCGATCTCCTGACCTCGTGATCTGCCTGCCTTGGCCTCCCAAAGTGCTGGGATTTCAGGCATGAGCCACCGTGCCCAGCAGCTATGGTATTTGTTTTTTAAATCAGAGTGTCACTCTGCCACTCAGGCTGGAGTGCAGTGGGTCAGTCTCGGCTCTTCCACATCCCCGGTTCAAGTGATTCGGCTGCCTCAGCTTCCCAAGTAGCTGGGACCACAGGCACCTGCCACTATGCCCAACTAATTTTGTATTTTTCGTAGAAATGGGGTTTTGGCACCGTTGGCCAGGCTGCTCTCAAACTTCTGACCTCAAGTGATCCACCCGGCTCAGCCTCCCAAAGTGCTGAGATCACAGGTGTGAGCCACCATGCCTGGCCTCTTCAGCTTTTAAATTGTATTTGCTTTTATATATGTGAAAGTTTAGGCTAGGCGTGGTGGCTCACGCCTATAATCTTAGCACTCCGGGAGGCGGGAGATGGGCAGAACACTTGAGGCCAGGAGTTCAAGACCAGCCTGGGCAATGTGGTGAAACCCATTCTCTACTAAAAATGCAAAAATTAGCTAGGTGTGGTGTTGAATGCCTGTAGTCCCACCTACTCAGGAGGCTGAGGCAGGAGAATCACTTGAACCTGGGAGGCATCAGTTGCAGTGAGCAAAGATTCAGCCTGGGCAACAGAGCAAGACTCTGTCCCAAAAAAAAAAAAAAAAAGGAGGTTTAGTGTTCATAAATAAAGTTTTATTGGAACACAGCCACATTCATTCATTTATATTGTCTATGGCTGCTTTATGCTGAAAAGGCAGAGTAGAGTGGTTAGGAAAGAGACCAAATGGCCCACAAAATTTAAAATACAGGTGACCTGGCCGGGTGCGGTGGCTCAGGCCTGTAATCCCAGCACTTTGGGAGGCCGAGGCGGGCAGATCACGGGGTCGGGAATTCGAGACCAGCCTGGCCAATATGGTGAAACCCTGTCTCTACTAAAAATACAAAAATTACCTGAGCATGGTGGCGCATGCCTATAATCCCAGCAGCTACACGGGAGGCTGAGGCAGGAGAATCACTTGAACTCGAGAGGTGAAGGTTGCAGTGAGCCGAGATTGCGCTACTGCACACCAGCCTGGGCAACAGAATGAGACTCTGTCTAATAAATAAATAAATAAGTAAATAAATAAATAACAGCGGTATGTTAAAAACAAAAACTTTCAAGTGTGTAAAATACAAGTTGTATGGAAGCAGAGTGCCTGCTAGCAGTGTGCCCATTATGCAGTATTGTATAGTGCTCTGTTGGCACCAGATCACTGTTAATGGTTAGGACATTTATGGTTGGGAGTAAGGAAAAGACATCCATTTAACTTCCTGCATTACCGAGCACAACATCGTTCCTAATCGTTCATGAATATTTTTGTTCAAAGGTCTGCAAACCACTCAAAATGGCCGATTCTATGCCATCTCTGCACGCTTCAAACCATTCAGCAATAAAGGGAAAACTCTGGTCATTCAGTACACAGTAAAACATGAGCAGAAGATGGACTGTGGAGGAGGCTACATTAAAGTCTTTCCTGCAGACATTGACCAGAAGAACCTGAATGAAAAATCACAGTACTATATTATGTTTGGTGAGTTTAGGTGGTACAAATCTACCACTTCTGGTGACTTTGAAAACCCTCTCACTTCACAGGATCTTTAGACTAGGCTTTGCTAACATACTGAAGGTTAGTAGTATTGAGTATATTGGATCCAAGGTTTATAGCACTGTTAAACCGAATTAATATAAAAAGCAACTGTACCAGTCAGTTGTATTCCTGAAAAGTTATTTATTCACCACAAGTGTAGCCTTCATGCAGGCTAAGGATTCCTTACCTGAAATGTTTGGGACCAGTGTTTTGGATTTTGGAATTTTTGAGTATTTGCATTATCCTTACTGGCTGAGCATCGTTAATCTGAAAAACCAGAAACCTGCAGTGCTCCAGTGAGCATTTCCTTTGAGCATCATCTTGAGTCTAAGAGTTTCAGATTTTGGAACACTTTAGATTTGGAATTTTTTGATTTGGGATGCTCAACTTGTATGTTGTTTTGTTTTGTTTTGTTTTGTTTTGAGATGGAGTTTTCACTCTTGTTGCCTAGGCTGGAGTGCAATGGCAGTGGCGCAGTCTTGGCTCACTGCAGCCTCCACCTCCTGGGTTCAAGCAATTCTCCTGCGTCAGCTTCCTGAGTAGCTGGGATTACAGGCATGCGCCACCATACCCGGCTAACATTTTTGTATTTAGTAGAGATGGGATTTCACCATGTTGGCCAGGCTGGTCTCGAACTCCTGGCATGTCTTGAACTCCTGGCCTCAGGTGACCCACCCGCCTTGGCCTTCCAAACTGCTGGGATTACAAGCCTGAGCCACCATGTGTGGCCTCAACCTGTGTTTTCTTTTCTTTTTTTTTTTTTTTTTTGAGATGGAGTTTCGCTCTTGTTGCCCAGGCTGGAGTGCAATGGCGCGATCTTGGCTCACCGCAACCTCCGCCTCCCGGGTTCAGGCAATTCTCCTGCCCCAGCCTCCTGAGTAGCTGGGATTACAGGCACGCGCCACCATGCCCAGCTAATTTTTTGTATTTTTAGTAGAGACGGGGTTTCACCATGTTGACCAGGATGGACTCGATCTCTTGACCTCGTGATCCACCAGCCTCGGCCTCCCAAAGTGCTGGGATTACAGGCTTGAGCCACCGCGCCCAGCCTTCAACCTGTGTTTTCAATCCTTCAGGACTCAGTAAACTTTGGCCATGGGCCAAATTGGCCCACCATCTGCATTTCTATGACGCATGAACTACAAATTTTTTTACATTTTTAACTGCTTGGAAAAAATCAATACAAGGATGACATTTTGCGATACATGAAAATTATATGAAATTTGGCTAGGCGCAGTGTCTCATACCTGTAATCCCAGCACTTTGGGAAGCTGAGGTCAGGAATTCAAGCCCAGCCTGGCCAAGATGGTGAAACCCCATCTCTACTAAATATACAAAAATTAGCCGGGGGTGGTGGCAGGCACCTATAATCCCAGCTACTTGGGAGGCTGAGGCAGAGAATTGCTTCAGCTTGGGAGGCAGAGGTTGCAGTGAGCTGAGATCGCACCACTACACTCCACATTCCAGCCTGGGCGACAGAGCAACGCTTCATCTCAAAAAAAAAAAAAAAAGAAAGAAAAAGAAGGCCAGGCATGGTGGCTCACACCTGTAATCCCAGCACTTTGGGAGTCCGAGGCAGGCAGATCACAAAGTCTGGAGTTCGAGACTAGCCTGGCCAAGATGGTGAAACACTGTCTCTACTAAAAATACAAAATTTGGCCAGGTGTGGTGGCAAACGCGTGTTAATTCCAGCTACTCAGGAGGCTGAGACAGGAGAATCGCTTGAACCCAGGAGGTGAAGGTTACAGTGAGCTGAGATTTCACCACTGCACTCCAGCCTGAGGAATACAGTGAGACCCCATCTCCGTTAAAAAAAAAAAAAAAAAAAAAGGCAATTAGATGAAATTTAGATTTCAGTGTCCCTAAATGAAGTCTTACTGGAATGCAGCCTCACTCTGTTCATTTATATGTTGTCTGTGGCTGCTTGCCAGTAGCAGTGGCAGAGTTAAGTTGTCATGACACAGATCATTAGGCTTACAAAGCCAGAAATATTCTACCATCTGGCCTTTATAGAAAAAACCTGCAAACCTCTGGAAAATATTAAATGTCTCTTAACACCAGGGGTACTTGATTAAAATTTGTGCTGGAACTGGGAAGGGATCACACTCAGCCACAGGAAATAGACATAAGTATAGTGTAACTTACAACTTTAAGAATTAATGTACCTCGGGCTGGCGTGGTGGCTCATGCCTGTAGTCTCAGCACTTTGGGAGGCTGAGGTGGGCAGATCACTTGAGGTCAGGAGTTTGAGACCAGC